GAATCAAATACAAGGAAGCAGTGACCAATGAATAAGACCCGAACATGTCAATCATATATTGGAAATAAATCAACCTCAGAAACAGAATCTAATATGAATATGAATTTCGTATGAGATCACCCTATATGGTTCCCGATAAAGTACAAGCATCACAAAATCATTGAGAAAGTAAAGAGTACACGCGTAGAACAGCTACATACACACAAACAAGATGAAATAAGCGAAAACATTCTACTAGCCTTCTTGGAATTTCTCATAAACCAAACTAAGACACGGTACATGTAGAAAGTAGAAACTGCAAAAAAAGTATGATTATTTACCCGGGTACACCCCTCTCTACCCGGGTAAATAATTCAAACATTTTTCCAGATTCAAGAAATATACTCGGGTAGGTAAAAAATTTCAAAAATACCCGGGTAGGTAGGGGTGTACCCGGGTAGGCTTCATGGTCAACGGTCAAACAGGGGCAGATTGATGTTATGTTTTCGGAAGAGGTTAAATTTTTGAAATAGTTTATAAATAAGGTCAATTTGATAATTAATTATTAAAAAAAGACTATAGTGGTCAAAAAACCCCTTACTTCTTGTTGCGGAGTAAATTTTCAGTAGTATTGTAATACTGAACTACTGCAAACTTATTCCTTGTCGTGTAAGAGTTGGGTTGGGCGTTGAGCATTGTTCCGGACTTTGGGCCACGACATTGAAATGCCCCTATACGGCCCAATATAAAATGACTCATTTGAACCAGTTCCTATTAAAAGTTCTCCAAAATCCATTTATTAATCAATAGCGACATGGTCCATTTCCAGGGAAAGATAAGATCTTATAATAAATTTTTTACAAAATGAGGATGAAGACTTTTATTTTGGTTAGCAACTTTAGATTTGCACATATTTGGGAAGGTATAAGATACCTATGTGATAACAATGACATGTGAGCTGTAGGCATAACGCATGTTGATGCTATAATTATTCAAATTAAGTGTAAGGAATTTCATATTCCTGGATTAGATGACAGTGTACCAAATACTTCTTAACTTAAATTATGAGACTTGACATAAACGTGTATTGTTAAGGCCTCAGCCGCTTTCATTACCCGTTTATTGTTAAACTGGGCTTTCATTAATTGAATTTATACGAAAACGAAATGAAGAATTGGACACCTGAAGCTGTTGAGTTTACACACTTACAACTTGGGCTACGCAACCTTGGGCTTACTTGAAGAATACCTGGTCCAATTTAATGGCCAGGGGAAACGTGTACAATTAGAAATTTTACACTTTTTTTTTACCCACGTAAAGTAAAATTAGAATTATTTCATTTATTTAATTTTTGTGTCCAATGATGTTATAAATATTTAAATGTGAATAATAATGAAGTTCACATCGGTTAAACATGAACCAAGCCAGAATCATATAAGTGCAAAAGATTCATAAACTTATAACTTTAAGATTTTAGATTGAGACGTGGTATCGACTCACTTATTGTGATTTGTCATTTGACCCATTAACGAAGATATCCTTTGTGAAGGATGAAGGGTTTTGATAAATCAATTGTGAAATTACACAATTCCACCTAAATGGAACAAAAGAATAACTATATCCTGCATTTTTGTGGCTAAAGATTTGGAACACGTCTAAAGACATAAAAGGATGCCAAGGATGTAGATGGAACATGGCATAAAATTTGGTTTAGTAAAACATGTTATCCACTTGTTTTTGCTGATACTAGATTTCATGTGATAAATGACGGTTGATAAGTGAATATGTGATATGATCGTTCGTTCTAACGTGAGTTCTAAAATAATTTCAACTGTTATTGGCTTTGTAAAAATAAAAAATAAAAATAACAACACCCAAATAATTTTTTCTTTTTGCCATTTGTTTCCGAACTAGGTAAAATTTGTATTTTCGCAAAGATTTTTTTTAGTTTCCCAAATTATTCATTAAAAGTGCAACTAATCCAGTTTGAGACTTTGAGCCCTGTTAGATCCATATAAAGGTGACTCTCTCGATATAATTTTTCTCATTAGTAGGGCTCAAACTAAAGACCTATGTTGTTGATAGTTTTCAAAGGTCTTTTCTAGTTGAAATATTAAATCACCTAGTTCAATACTTATTGAGTTTTGATATGTAATGAAATATAAGGCCCACATTTAAAACCTTCACCATGAAAAAAAAATCCACTTGAGAAGCCTTCATCATTAAGAAAAGACTTTAGTCAACAAAGACTGCTTCAACCAGGTGGCTTCTGCAACTCCATCAGATACTTCTACAAAAACCTTATCTCAAGCCACCATAACAAGAACCAATGTGAAAAGCTTGCTGCCTCACCACTTGCGAGCAACTTGGAGGGACATATCTCAAAGTTGGTCATCTCTCAACTTTATAAATATTAAATGTGCTAATTAAAGGTACACATCTTCACCTACATGAATAAATCTGTTTTAGTGTCTTGCATGTTCACCCCCACTTTATTTAAGTGAAGACCAATGAGTTATAACTGCACTAAATTATTTGTGTAGAGGAAGATCACATAGTCTGTCCAAATAAAAATGGTTCTGATCAAGTTTAATCCTAATTTCAGCAATCTTATATCATGCCAATGTCTAATTAACAAGATTGTTCTTAGGGCATGGAGATTTTGTGTGTGAACATGCATGCATGCATGTGTTTTCTCTCTACGGCACTTCCTCTGTTTCAAAATAATTGTCATTTTAGAAGTTTTAGTTTGTTTTAAATTGTTTGTTGCTTTAAAAAATTAAGAAAGTGTTAATTTTGTTTTCTTATTATATCCTCGTCTCTTGGTATCTTGACTAAGTGGACTGAGAGAGTGTTAATGGAGGGAGGTTGCAATTTAATCAAATGTAGTATTATTTTCCTCAAATTAAGGGTATTCAATGACTTTCTTAATCCTTGTTTAAAACCTTAAATAACAATTATTTTGAAACAGGGGGAGTAATTATTTTCTGGTTTTCAGCATTGGTTAAATATGGAATGCTTAGATTGTGAAGCCTAATTAATTCTTAAGTGAAATTATTAATTGATTCCATTTGTAAAGCTCAATATTTCACTCTATTTTTTGGTGCTTCAAAGAGTGGATTGTACGAACATTTTAGTTAAAACACATTGATCATTTTCTCTCTGATTTGAGATAAATAGGTTGTTGACGTTGAATTTCATGTATGCATATGTTGTTGATGTTGAATTTCACGTATGCATGCATAAAAATATACCCTGGCCGAGTGATCAACAAATTTCGGCAGCTGAAATTTTCTTCCTCTGTTGTGATAGGTATAATATATGTTGTATCCTAGTTTCCTTCATATTTAATCGTTTAACTCTATGGTATCGTGTGTCCTGGATTTTGTTGATACTTGCAATAGGGTGTAATTGCTAATCTTAATTAGTGTATTCATTATTATTGAAATTTAGTTTTTTGTGCATTCATTTTATTTTCTAATTTGGAATGATGATTTTGGTGATGGGTCTCGTGCTCAAATAGGAGTCTCGTAGGTTGTAATTTTTTAAAGCTAAATATTTCTGGCCTTCATCCAAATTTTACTATAGAAACCATGAAAAAAGTTCTTGTCCTTCATATCAAGGCCAGAAACTTTATTCTATATACTGTATAAATACTAACTGCTTTGCCAACCAGAGTTCAATGTCATTTTTCTGAAAAATCCTGTGGCTTCCAAATTTTTTAAGCCACACTTAGTCTTTTGGTATATCATTAGTTTTGCCTTTAATGTTATCTCTATTGCATGTCAGAATTTACAGTGCAACTTTCATTTAGGGTGTGTTTGAGGTGGGAAATTGAAAGTGCAAATAGAATGAGATGAAAAGGTTAAAATTTTCACTCTTTTTTGCTTTGTGAAGAGTAAAAAAATCACATCCTCCTTTCGTGTTATAGAAATGGTTTTAATTGGTGAGATGTAGTGTGAATGAGTCGCACTTTACTTTCAACCAACTTATATTTTTGCTGTGTCAGGCAAATGACTTTATGTATGAATTATGTACATTGTTTTGTAACTGTCCAAACAAAATAGTGGTAGCTATAAGGTGCAAATGTTTTATAGATCCTCAAGACATATAAACCTATCCACAAACAGAACTAAACGGCCAATTGCAAGTAATTCCCCCATAGCACGTGAAGCCTTTTGATGAAATACTGATGAGGTGTTTCATTTAAGGCGAACAATATCTCCTTCCACAAGGGACATTTCTGCAATTCACATGGATACATTAAACCCACGAAAAAAAATTATAAACTAATCATAATTTGCAACTAAAAGCTAATCATGGTTCGTGATATAAAATCAAGGGAAAATATATTCTTACGTTGTAGGAGAGTATTTTTCTCTCCTACACATACATCGATTTGCGTGTTTTTCTTTTTTCTTTTTTTATAAGTGGATGGGTCCTAGACATGATTGTCTCTATAGTATGAGAGAGCTTCTCTTCTATTGCATGAGATTAATAAAGCCTAAAATCAAAGTTCCATCTTGTATGCAACTTTTTCTTGGGTATTATTATGTGGGTTATTTTGATTGTTAAGTGCCAGACAGCAGACACCAGAACTGCCACTTTATGAACATACCCCCTTTTTTATAACAGGTTTAATTAAAGGGAAATATAGCTTTCCTTTCACTGCAAAAAAATTTTCTGCAGCAACACTATCTAAATCCAGGATACATGTAACATCCCCGTCTCGAGCCGGTTCAATTAACATACATATGATAAAACAGAAAACAGCGGAAGACTTAACTTACGAAAATATGAGCTAACTTTTTCTTTTTCTAACTTAATTCTTTCTCGGCGTAAACGAAAATCGGGCAGAGTTTCCTCTATAATTCGGACAACTGGGGATTTTCCAATCCCACTCGGAAGCATTTCCTGATAAACAGTTTATACAACATATCAATTCGGAAATACCAGATATCCAAATATAATCGAATACCCATACATGGGCGCATGCATAACATGGCTCCGTGCCACTAAATCTAACAGCATGCCATCAAAACATAAACCTATCTGAATACTACATCATCATATAACGTTCCTGAATACTCAAATGTACATGCATCAAACTGATAGACATGTACAAAACATATACAGGCCATATACAAAATAAAGGATCAATATCATGATCCATCAAATGCGAAAATACTAAAATCCATCAAACACTCCAAAAAGGTAGTAGCCTACAGCCACTCAAAATCCGGTCTGTCAACTGCCTCAGCCACGTGTCGTGTCCCTGCCTAGTGAGGACTCACCGGAAATCTGGGCCCCTGAAAATATGTCCCCAAAGAGGGGTGAGATTACAAATCTCAATAAGCTCCAGGTTTATAGAGAATTCTCCATACCCCTGGCTCACTCCTGCATGAAATTCAGATACAGAGTATACAAATACAACATATAACAGATATCATAACAGAACAGAGCATATATCCATATCATATCAGAGATGTGCGCCGTCATTCCCAAGGGAGGACCCCAAGCGGAAATCAACGCACGTGTTCCCGAGGGAGGACCCCAAAGCGGAACCAGACATATCAGAGGAGTACACCATCAGTCCCGAGGGAGGACCCCAAAGCGGACGTCCGGGTACTATACAATCAATGGCCAGAGATTGTTTCAGAAATCAAATTACAGAAGTCACATCAGAGCAAAACATATCATGTTATCAAATAACTCTATATGAATGCATCTATACAAAGCATCTAAATCACAGTCATACAGTCCAACCATAGTTCACTAACCATGGTGGAGCACTCAAGCAGGAAAAGACTCCTTAAACATAGAGCTTACCTCTTGAAGCTTTACCAATACGCTTACTTGTGGAACAAGTTACTTTTATCGCTTCAAGAGATTTCCGATCCTTCTCAATCCCTAGGCACACCTAGAGAATAATTTACAATGCATCAATAAAATGATGCAATACCATAATTATTTCATAAGCATACATTTTATCGCTTATTTTCCTTTCTTTGCATTTTTGCCAATCCTATGCCAATACACAAGTCTAGACCTCTTTATAACCGTTGGTGTTCTTTAATTTAATCAACCATTCCCTTAGGAATTTTCAACATAAATCATGCTATTTTTCTTCAAAACTCATCACCTTTATACAATTTATTACAACACATTTTATTTAAAATAAAATGTACAAAATATATCCCTAAATACCCTATAGGTTGAATCCTACAAGGGGAATTTCCAAAGATCCTTCTCTTTTACAATGCATTTTCGTTACTTCATTACAACTTGAAAACACCTAGGAATGCTTCCACTAAATTCCTATTTTGAGTTTAGACACCAAGTCCTTTTTTTACTTAGGCATTCTTACTAACTCATCCATTTTCACTCATTTCCAACACACTATACCTTCACAATACATAATATAATTTTTTCCACAATAACTCCTACTCACTCCATGATGGCCGAAACCTAGGAGGAAGATGCAATAGGACTTTTAAATTTTTATATCACATGTGGATGCTTACTCAACACTATAACTTCCTAAACAACAATAATCCATCATAAATTTCACATTCTAACATCAATTATTTCCCAACAAAATATGCTCATCAATTTCATAACTTAAATCATCAAAATAATATCATGGAAATAGAGGTTTCTTACCTCTAAACACTTGTAGAAAGCCTAGAGAGCAATCTCCAAGCCAAGCTCCATCCAAAAACTCACTTTTTCTCCTCCAGTGAATAGTAACTCGAAAATGAGAGGAGGAATAACTCTTCACACACTCAACTATAGCTCAAATGGATAGGTGGAATGGATTCATTGAGTGGTTTCCAATCAATTTCATGTGGTGGGTCATTGGATTTGGTGGATGGATGATGAAGAAATCAAAGAAGGAAAATTTGAAACCCTAGCCCCTTCCCCTCCATGTGCAGCTCGGCCATGCAAGAGAGAGAAGAAGAAAATCTGAAATGAATAGTGTTTCATTTAAGTGACAAGGCTATATAGGCACATGTGGCCATTTTCATCGGATGTTTTTTTATCGCGTATTTTAACTTAAATTGACCCGGAACTAACTCAAAGCTACAAACATATTTTTTATTTCCTAAAATCATTTACATTAATTTTTTATTTCCTAAGGAACAATATTCATAATTCACAGTATGGTTTTTGCACCGTTTTTGACGAAATGCACTGTGCATCACTAATTGTACTTCCTTTACTTACGAAAATTAAAACTTATAAACTTATCATTTTCTTGGGCCTATATTGACTTGCTTGGCATATATTGGACTTTCTTATTCTTATTTCATCAATTATTTATTTCTGGACTCTACCGGTTGCTTAAACAGCAGTACAAAATACCCGGTAGAAACACTATTCACGAGATTTTCACGGAAAGTGCCAGACTATACAATTTTTCGTTCTGAACTCATATTTGTCATCAGAATTTTCAAATTATGTTCCTAAAATTATTTTGCTCATTTTAAGCTCTACCGGTTAATTCACAAAACTGTAAATTCTCCGGCAGAACGCACTGTTCATAACATAGTCATGATTACAGTCAAAATACTCGAAATCGCTCACTGAATCTAATTATGGCATTTAAATCCTTAAATTAAATCTCTAACTAAGATTTACCAGTTAGGGTCATTATATTCACCCCACCTTTTAAGGATTTTGCCCACAAAATCAAATATCAAATATACATATACCTGACATCAAACTCAGGATATCGCTGGAGAATTTTATTCTCCCGCTCCCAAGTGGCGTCCTCAGGAGTCAATCCTTCCCATTGTACCTTGATCATGGGAATAGTCCTGTTTCTCAACACTTTTTCATCACGTGCTAGAACCTTAAACGGTCCCACAACAAACTTCAAGTCTTTTCTTACTTCGATATTGTCCGGCTGTACAATGTGGGATTCATCCGGCACGTATTTTCGAAGTTGACTGATGTGAAAAACACTATGCAAATTTGACAGATGTGGAGGTAAGGCAAGCTGATAAGCCACAGGTCCAACCCTTTTCCTAATCTGGTAGGGCCCAATGAACCTAGGACTCAACTTCCTCACTCCTAGAGCACGCCCAACACCCGTAGTCGGAGACAAACGGATAAATACATGATCCCCTCCTGAAAATTCAAGGGGTCTATGCTTTGCATCATAATAACTCTTTTGGCGACTCTGTGCTTTCTTCAATCGATCCTTAATCATCATAATTTGATCGGTAGTCTCTTGGACCATATCAGGCCCAAATAACTGCCTCTCTCCAATTTCTGACCAACAAGTAGGCGCCCTGCACCTACGGCCATACAAAGCTTCATACGGAGCCATGCCCAAACTGGCATGATAACTATTATTGTAGGAAAATTCCACTAGAGGACGATATTTATCCCATGCATTTCCCTGCTCTAAGGCACAAGCCCTCAACATGTCCTCCAGGGTCTGAATAGTCCTCTCAGTCTGACCATCAGTCTGGGGATGATAAGCCGTGCTCAGCCTCAACTGTGTACCGAAGGCCTGTTGCACTGCATCCCAGAGTCTAGAAGTAAATTTAGGGTCCCGATCACTAATGATACTTTCAGGAACACCATGAAGTTTCACAATCTCTCTTACATATATCCGAGCCAACTGCTCTGTGGAGAAACTCGTTTTAACTGGTATGAAATGTGCAGACTTTGTCAATCTGTCAACAACTACCCAGATGGAATCAAAACCAGCCTGAGTTCTCGGTAATGCTACTACAAAATCCATAGAAATACTGACCCATTTCCATTCCGGAATATCCAAGGGCTGCAGTAATCCAGATGGTCTCTGATGCTCAATCTTAACTTTCTGACATGTCAAACACTTACTCACAAATAGAGCAATGTCTTTCTTCATTCCCGACCACCAGAAATTCCGTTTCAAGTCTTGGTACATCTTGGTAGCACCAGGATGGATAGTGTACTTACCCATGTGACCCTCAGTTAATACCTCATCTACCATCTGACCTTTTGGAACAATGATTCGATCCTTGTAAAACTTAAGACCGAACCTATCAGTGGACACAAAGTCCTGCTCTTTCATAGACTGAATCTCTTCATCAAGCAATTGAGCTTCTTTAATCCGCTCAACTAATGAATTCAGGACTACCGTAGTAGTCAATAAATGCGGACTATCTTCTGTATTCACAGGAATGTGGAGATCCCTGAATTTCTCAATCAAATTATACTCGGAAATCATCAAATTGGCCATACCAAGCGTCTTTCTGCTTAAAGCATCAGCTACTACATTGGCTTTACCAGGGTGATATTGCAATTCAAAATCATAATCCTTCAGAAATTCCACCCATCGGCGTTGCCTCATATTTAGCTCCTTCTGATCAAACAGATACTTTAGACTTTTGTGGTCACTGTAGACAATAAAATCGGCCCCGTATAGAAAGTGTCGCCAAATTTTCAAAGCGAACACTACGGCTGCCAACTCAAGATCATGTGTCGGATAATTCTCCTCATGCGGTTTCAACTGCCGAGAAGCATAAGCGACCACCTGACGGAACTGCATTAACACACAGCCTAACCCAAACTTAGAAGCATCACAATACACCACAAACTTACTTGTAGGATCCGGCAATATTAATACCGGAGCTGTAGTCAACTTCCTTTTTAGCTCTTGAAAGCTTACTTCACATTCTTGGGTCCACACAAATGGGTTCCCTTTACGGGTTAACCGTGTCAAAGGTAAAACCATCCGTGAGAATCCCTCAATAAAACGCCTATAATATCCAGCCAAACCAAGAAAACTCCTGATCTCTGTAACATTTTTAGGACGTTCCCATTCTACCACTGCTTCAATCTCGCTCGGGTCCACTGCCACTCCTTCAGATGAGATGACATGGCCCAGAAATTGTATCTCGGAAAGCCAGAATTCACATTTTGATGGTTTAGCATACAACTGATGCTCTCTCAGAATCTGCAAAACAACCTTTAGATGCTCAGAATGCTCTTCTTTACTCTTTGAATATATCAGTATGTCATCTATAAAGACCACCACAAACTGATCCAGATAGGCTTTAAAGATCCGATTCATATAACCCATGAAAACGGCTGGTGCATTTGTAAGCCCAAAAGGAATAACCAGATACTCATAGTGCCCATAACGGGACCTGAAAGCTGTCTTCGGAACGTCATCCGGCTTTACCCGGATCTGATGATACCCGGACCGGAGATCAATCTTAGAAAATACAGTCGCACCACGCAACTGATCCAACAAATCATCTATACGCGGCAAAGGATACTTATTCTTAACAGTAACCTTATTCAACTGTCGGTAGTCTGTACATAATCTCATAGACCCATCCTTCTTCTTAACAAAGATCACCGGGGCTCCCCAAGGAGACACACTCGGCCTAATAAAATTCTTTCCGGATAAGTCTTCAATCTGCTTCTTCAATTCGGATAATTCCAGAGGTGACATCCGGTATGGGGCAAGAGAGATAGGTCCCACACCAGGCAATAAGTCAATTGCAAATTCAATTTCCCTTTCTGGAGGGAAGTGCGGAATTTCATCCGGAAAGACATCCTCAAATTCAGAGACAATCGGAATAACAGAAACTGGCTCCTTGTTGACGCCAACCAAACCTCCTAATAAAACATACCCGGAATCTCCTTCCTTCAAGGCCTTTACCACCTGAAGTACAGACAAATAAGGAGACTCCCTTTCTTCATCTTGAGATGAGACAGAAATGGTTTTACTGCAGCAGTCAATCTTCACACAGTACTTGGACAACCAATCCATCCCCAGAATTAAATTCACAGAAGCAAGGTGCAAGACAATAAAGTCGGCAGAATATTCCCTGCCTTCATAAAGGGGCAGTCCCTAATAAAATGCCCAGGTTGGCCACATTTGTAACACAATCTTTGCTCTTTTCTGCAAACCCCAGCATGGACTTTACCACATGTAGCACATAGAGAAGCAGGCTTAATATTTCCAGGCTTAGAATTTCCCGCCTTTTTGAACTTACCATCAGACTGTCTAACCTGCAACCCTTTTCCTTTAGAATTCCCAGAAGTGTTTTTAGGACCAGAATTAGGAGCAGATTGGTCCTTATGCTTCCTTCTGTAATATTCTTGAATATTTTTACAATTTTTAACAAGTGCAGCAAAAGTATCAAATGAGTCACCTGCAAGTTTTTCAGAGATGTTATCATGTAATCCTATATGAAATTTAAAAATCAAGTCATCCTCTGTAGGTGGAGCTCTCTGGAAATGAGAGTATTTGGCCAGCTTATTGAACTTATTCAAGTATTCATCAATAGACATCTGACCCTGCTTTAGTTCTTCAAATTCACCCTTCTTCCTTATCCGGGCTTCAGCCGGAAAGTATTTCAGCAAGAATTGCCTTTCAAATAAAGGCCAGGTAATAGCATAACCCTGACATTCCAAGGGCAGATGGGTATTTCTCCACCAATCAGCTGCATCATTCTGCAACATATAAGAAGCATACAACAATTTCTGCTGATCATCACACTCCATGACAGTAAAAATGCGATCCAATTCTTCTAACCACTGAATTGCAGCAATAGGATCAATGCCTCCTTTATAATTTGGTGGTGCATGTTTTGGAAGGCATTTAGCATTTCTTTTCTCTTTGCTCTCTGTTAGTGGCTGGCTGTGCCACACCACCCCTGTGACTAGATTCTTCAATTCACATCATTATTTCCTTCACCCTGCACAACAATGGGATTATGAGGGAGGAACAGG